GCTAAACAATGGAACATTACAAACCTGTGGCCCTTCCCCAGCCTGTTCTTTGTTCAGACTGTGCTTTCCAGGGTGGTTCATTCAGCGTGTGCAAATCCCTCCCTCCAGACTCTTGTGCAGCTTCACAGTGCTCGCGCTCACAGCACCATCAGGGCTGGGTTTGGCAGTGAGATCCTAATTTGTGTGCATTTTTAGATGGCTTCATTACCAACATGTTCTCGGCAGTGCTTTGAAATTGGTTCAAGGTCAGTGGTAACAGTTTCTGAGTCTGTGTCACCTTGGGAAACATTTGATAGGAATTTAAAGCTGCTGAATGGCGTCTGCATATTTCCCTTTGTAAAGGTGCACAATCTGCACTTTTCTGTCAGCTCCTGCCTGGTGTTTAGTGTCACAGTTCCTTCGGTTTCCATTTCTCACTGTGTTCCTCTGTATTTTGGGGCACAGGGGTGCTGGATGCTGTTGGGAAAGAGAAGCAGGAAGATGTCTGCACGTTGCAAGCTGTGAGGTTCTGGTAAGAAGCACTCCAGATGGAGATTTTTATCCACTGTTACACTTGTTACTGGAATAGGAGGAATGTTGTAGGGTGTGTTTTACTTATTTACACACCTCCCACCCCTCCCTCTGCTGCTTCTATCTGGTATTCTCTCATAAAATGTCTGCAGACCAAAGTACTTGTAAAAAGATAAGGGCCAGGGAGGACAGGGAGTTCTGGCTATGCTGGAACCAACCTTGGAGATCCTTCTTGGCATGCAGCAGAATTCTCCATCAAGTTTCCTCACTGTTTCTGAGCAGAAATCCCTGGAAGGTGCCACCACCTTCACCTACTGCTTCTAAACCTGTTTTATCCAACTACTTTGTGCATGTCACCTTCAGCTGCATGCAGAGAGGTACATTAGACACCTGGTTGTAAATCTGGTGGCTGCACAGTGCTGAGTAACCAATAGATTTAAAAAGTACATATAAAAGTACGTATTTGTGGCAACTGGAGGAGAATTATGTAAAATCAACGGAAGTCATTCACCTTGAGCAGCACCTGGTTGATCATATTTAACAAGCAACTGGTGGGCCATAATTAATCAGTACGTGTTTGATCATATTTAATCAGCACCTGGCTTATCCCATGTGATCAGCTCCAGTTTGCTCACTTCCTGCCGTTGTCTGTGGTGTTTCTGTGTGCCCTGCAGGCTGACTGTGTTCCATGTCTCAGGCTATGGCAGTGTGGCTCACCCCGATTCTGTGAAGCAGTTTTTCAGGCACACCCTGACCGAGGTGCTAACCTACAACCCTGTGCTGAAAGGTGGGAATGGGCAGAAGTACTTCCAGGGGTGTTGTGGTGTGTCCAGAGCTCCATCCCATCCTGGTCTTGCTGAGTGAGGCCCTGCCTAGAGGATGCAGAGCCAGAGGAGCTGCCTGGCTCCCATCTCCTTCTAGATAAACAAGGTGCCAGAGCAGACAAAAGTCATCAGAGCTTTAGGAGGTCATAGATCAGGAGAAGATTTGAGGTGGAACATTAGTGCCTTCACACAGAGCAACCAGCAACTCATGAACACATATCTGGAGTAAGATCCAAGAGCAGCCATAGGAGAGCTCTGGCCTGGGCAAAGGAGCTGCTGGGTGGGAGAGGAGATGCTGCAGAGAGAGCTTAGAGCTAACCCAGGTTGGTCCCATGTGCTGGGTGTACAGACAAGACATGGGTGTGTTTGTAGATGAGAGGAGAGCAGAGAGGTTCTGATCCCTCATCACCAATTTGATGTTCTAAGGTATAAATATGTTTGGGCTGCAAAACTGTAGTAAAACCCCTGTGAGCTGTGATGTGGAGCTGCTTTGCCTGGTGTGTGGGAGAGCTGTGGCTCTGCTGTTTCCAGAGGAAAGAGGCTCATGAGGGAAAAGCTGATTCCCTGCTGGTTCTCTTTGCATGTGCCATGTCAGCCTACACATGTGTGATCACAGGGACAGCTCTGGGATGGCAGTGTCACACTCACATGGCACAGCCCTTGTGCCACAGTCCATGTCCAAAGGCAAAGGGGAGAGAGAGGATCCCAGTGGGCACTTTTTAACTTGTCTGACTGCCCAAAACAAACCTTGTGTACTCAACTGATGCATTTTGGGTGTGTTTTGAAACCTGTTGCTGATGTTTTCTCTGTCTGGTGCAGTGTCTGATGCCATCCACATGCAGAAGGAGTGGAGCTTCACCAAAGCTTCTCCCCTGCTCATCACCCTGTACCGCCAGGTATGTCTGCCTGGTGCCCCAGGGAGGGCTTGTGCTGTTAGCTTTGTGCTCACTGAATACCTGAGATGAGATTATTTGCAATTAGTGTGTTCCAGATCTGCACCAGAAACTGTGGGCAGGAGGGAACATGAAGGAGAACTGCAGGGGGTTTTGTTTGGGCCAAGCTCTTAATTGAGGACAAAGGTGCCGATTTGTATGTGAATTTTCACCATTGCAGGATATGACATGAGTTCTGAAAGAGCTGGAATGTTGCTGTTTGTTGTAGCCAGTGCTGGTTCCAAGCCAGGCTGATCTGCTGGCCTGGAAAGCTGATGGAAAAGCTGCAGGATAGCTTGAGAAAGTCACATTAAAGCTGTCTGTGTGTCAGTCTAGTCTGTATTTCCCTCTTTGGGGTGGCTGTGTCCTAGCTGACAGGAGCTACCACCTCTCTTCCAGCTGCTGGTGGCATTCAGCACCAAGGAGTCCATCTGCCAACTGCAGCAGGTCCTGGAGACCCACGAGGTGAACTGGCAGCATGTCCTGTCCTGTGTTTCCACCCTGGTGGTCTGTCAGGCCGAGGCTGAGCAGCTCTTCAAGGGTATGTGGTGCTGGGAAGTTGCTGTGTGTGCTCAGGTGGCAAAGCGGTGACCCTGTGGAGCAGTGTGGTCCGTCCATGGATGCTGCCTGGCATTCCTACATAGAAAAGAACAGCTTTTCCATGCAGACATTCCATGTCAGTGGTGATGGGAATGCCAGGCCTGGTGCCTGCCACTTTGTGTACAGCTCAGGGTGGTTATTTGATCATTACCCTCATTATTAATTGTTGTGTTAATTACTGCGGCTCAGTTCTTCTGTCTAGCAGAGCTTGTTTGGGAGAGCTCCTTACTGATTATCCACTGCTGGACTCCCTGTGATTCCTGCAGGGAATCCTAGGGTGTTTGACTGTTGAAAGTATATGAAAACATAAACTGATCCTAAAGGTTCCCCAGGCTGCAATACACATCCTGCCTTGTGTTTCATCACAGTTTTCATCTGCTGCAGAAAATTACAGCTCTGTAGTCAGGAGCAAAGTGTGAGGGG